AGCCGCAGTAGCACTAAACAAGAACAGATTGCCTGGTGTCATGAGCTCAGAAAAAGACATAGGCTCAGCTTGGGTCATTAGTTCCACCCTCATCAATTCAAGTAAATCCAGTTTAGGAACACCTACATACCAAGAAATAAAATAAGCAGAGAACATCATAAAATTTGATCCCAACAGAGAGATCCTCGTCACATTTACCTGGGTAAGAATAGCTCTTCCAGGACCGAGGGACTCTGCACTCTCTAGTGCCCACCTCGAAAGACCTCCACGAGTCACTTGAAACAAAAAAGAAGCGATGAGCCCATCCCGAAGGAGGGGAGGGGAGATCAAACACTAAACGACGAAGCCGAAAATCTCTCCACCAAAAGCAACGAAGCATGGAACTTCATCCTCCTCAAGGTTAAAAAAGTGGAGAAACTCGGCAACCGTAGGAAACTCACCATTACCTCGTAGACGCCAGAAGAGGAAGAAACTGGTCATGACAGCCCATCCCATGGGTGAAAGACGAGAAGGACACAAGCCACAATAGGCTAAAATAAATCCAATAGAGGGGTGAATGGGAAGGCGTAGACCTAACTCCAAAGTTGTTTCAAAGAAACACGTCTCCCCAGGAGGAAGGTAATTACAGGGTTCATTGAAACTTGGAGCACGTAGAGGTAACTCCAAATCAAGAAAGAATTTCTTCCTTATCCTCTCTAAATCAGAGGACGTCACCAGTGAGGGAGCAAAGTAATGAGTATTCCACGTCCACTCAACCCCAAAGGAGGTTCGTTCTTGAAACAGAGCAGAAAAAGGGGTAGACATGGTGGATTCAAGCGAAAAGGAGAAGAGAAGAAAATATAAAGCATTAAGCCCTCAAAAATAACAAAGGGATACCTAGATAGAAGTGATAGCCAATACTTATAGGAATCCTTTGAAGACCCTAGATTTTTAGGAAGTTGTTAATTACACGAAACCTTAAGTCGGCGGGTCTCTAGGTTTCCAAATTAAGGGAGCAGGAACCTTTTTGGTAGGAAGACTATGCATCGAAAGCAGACATCAACAACACCATGGGACAAAACAAGCAGACCTCCAAAGAGGGGTCCAGAACATCAAAGAAAGGTCAAAACAGACCCTTGCGATTCAGGAGTTCAATAAGTCTGGGGGTGGGGGAATCATTGCACACAAGCAGCTGCACCTAGGCATGCTCTTCCAGATTGTCATCTTGCCAATGGTACATGACAGCCCCAAAGCTCGGAACATTGGCACAAGAGGACAGAGAATGATAGTATGCTCTCCACCTCGATTAATCAGAATGGCTGAACTCGCAAAACAGGGAAGAGAACCTGACCAATGGCTACACATGCACATGTCCCCTAAGGCTTGCCAAAGGGACCCCTCAAACCGG